TCTTTTAAAAAAGGGGGGGGTAACAAATAACAAAATACTTGACAGAATTTAGGACCCAGGAGAATCATAACCTTGTAACCACTTACTACTAACAATATTGCTTTGAGATATATAAAGCTAAAGCTGATAATTATGAGAAAAACTGACATGCCTACAATTACTGTAGGAGATTTCAACATACTTCATCATAGACTGATAGTTCAAACAGACAAAACAGTAAGGCAATAAAATTTTGATTGGTAATATTTAGGGGCTCCTGGCTGACTCAGTCAGTAGAGTGTGCAACTCTTGATCTCAGGGTTGTGAGCTCAAGTCAACTCCATGCTGGGTGTAGAGATTACTTAAAAATAAAATCTTAAAACAATTATAATAATAATGTTTATATGTTGACTTAATGCAAGCAAAAATGAATATACTTTCTTTTCAAGTAAACATAGCACACTTAGCAAAACTGACATATATCACAAAAGAATTTCCAAGAATTGATATTTTATCAATCATGTTTTGGGCACAATGCAATTAAATTAGAAATAGGGCAATAAAAAGATAGTAAAAAGAATTTTGAAAATTTTAAAACGCACTCCTAAATAAAGCATATCATTAAAGATGAGATCACAACCAAATCACATCTGTTAAAGTTTCTAGAGCTGGAAAATTCACAATCCCATCTACAACTGCATCAAAAAGAATAACAAACCTAAGAATAAATTTAACCAAGGAGGTGAAAGACCTATATATTGAAAACAACAAACCATTAATGAAATAAATTTAAGACACAAATAAACAGGTATCCCACATTCATGGCTTAGAAGAATTAATATCATTAAAATATCCATCCTACACAAAGTAATATACAGATTCAATGCAATCCCTCTCTAAATTTCAGTGGCATTTTTCACAGAAATAGAACAATCCTAAAATTTGTATGGAACCAAAAAAGATCCCGAATAGACAAAACAATCTTGAGAAATAAGAACAAAGCTGGAGGCATGACACTCCCTGATTTCAAACTATGTCACAAAGCTATAGTAATTAAAACAGTATGGTATTGGCTTAAAAACAGACACATAAATCAATGGAACAGAGAGTTCAGAATAAACCCACATATGTATGGTCAACTAATTTAAGGCAAAGAAGTAAAGAATATACAATGGTGAAAGGACAGTCTCTTCAATAAATAGTGTTGGTAAAACTGGACAGCCACATGCAAAAGAATAAAAGCGGACCTCTACCTTTTTTTCTTTTTTTAAGTAGGCTCCATGTGCAGCACAGAGCCCAATGCAGGGCTTGAACTCCCAACCTCAAGATCAAGACCTGAGCTGAGACCAAGAATCAGATGCTTAACCAAGCAAACCACCCAGGTGCCCCAAAACTAGACCCTTATCTTCCATCACTCACAAAAATTAACTCAAAACGGACTCAAGACTTGAATATAAAACCTGAAACCATGACATTCTTAGAAGTCAACATAAGTGGTAAGCTCCTTGGCACAGGTCTTCATGATTTTTCTAATCTAACAACAAAAGCAAAAGCAACAAAAGCAAAAACTACATCATACTAAAAATCTTTTACACAGCAAAGAAAGCCATCAACAGAATGAAAAGGCAACCTAGTGAACAGGAGAAAATATTTGTAAATTGTATATCTGATAAGGGGCTAGTATCCAAAATACATAAAGAACTCCTACAACTCAAGAGCAAAAAACCCCAATCAATCCAATTTAAAAATGGGCAGAAGATATGAAAGGACATTTTTCCAAAGAAGACATACAAACCGCCAACAGGCACATGAAAAAGTGCCCTATATCACTAATCATCAGGAAAATGCAAATCAAAACCACAATGGATATCCCCTTACACTAGTCAGAATGGCTATTATCAAAAAGACTAGAAATAACAAGTGTTGAAGAGGATGTGGAGAAAAGGGAACTCTTGTACACTGTTGGTGGGAATTCAAACTGGTGCAGCCACTATGGAAAACAGTATGGAGGTTTCTCAAAAAATTAAAAATAGAAATATCGTATGATCCAGCAATTCTGCTTCTCAGTATTTACACAAAGGAAATGAAAACACTAACTTGAGAAGATATATGCACCCTTATGTTCACTGCAACATTACTTATTAGAATAGCCAAGATATGGAAACATCTTAAGAGTCTATCTATGGATAAATGGATAAAGAAACTGCTATATATAATTAAATATTATTTGGCCATAAAAAAAGAAAAAACCTTGCTACTGTATCATGACCTCAAGAGCGTATGGTAAGTGAAATAAGACAAAGAAAGACAAATACCATATCACCTCTCTTATATGTGAAATCAATCAAATAAATATATGGATGGATAAATGGTTGGATGGATGGATGGATGGATGACCAACCAACCAAGCTCACAGATACAGAGAAGAGACTGGTAGTTGCCAGAGGCAAGGGTTGGGGGGTGAGAGAAATGGATAAACTGTTTTTGTCCTTTTCTTTAGTTTAAGTACACTGAATAATAATACAACATACCAGTAGCTGCTTCCAAACTTGTAGTACAACTTAGAATAAAATTAAGAGCCTAAAATATATTTATTTTAAAAAAGAAAGCTTGAACATAAAGACATATTGAAAATAAGGTATTTAAATAATAAACAATATGAAATGAATAAGTCATGGGAATAAAAGGTATAGCATAGGAAATATAGTCAATGGTGTTGTATGGTGATAGATGGTAGCTACACTTGTAAGCACAGCACAATGTATAAACTTGTCAAATCTCTTACGTTGTACACCTGAAACTAATATAACATTGTGTGTCAACTCTATTTCAATTAAAAAACAAATAAAAAATAAAGTTAAAGTAATTAATATGAAAGAATTTAATGAAATAAATCATACAGGGAAAATAATAAAATATAAATCTCTAGAAGAGCAATAAGAAAAAAGGCAGAAATAAATAATACTGAACAAAAAAGGTGATATAACTAGAAATGTTACAGATGAAAATAACAGTAAGTCACTATGAACTTCATACTAATAAATTTGTGAGCTTAGATGAACAGATAACTTTTTAGAAAAGTATCAGATTAACAAAGTTGACTCAAAATGAATTTAAGACTGGAATTACATAAAGAAAAAAAAAAAAGGGACACTGAATGAGTAATCAAGTTTCTTCTACCAAAAGATACTAGACCCAGGGTTTTATATGCAAGTTTGGCCAAACTTTCAAAAAACAAATAGTGTTTATTTTCTGTAAACTGTTTCCAAAACTAGAAAAAGATCCTATTTTATGAAGTTAAAATAACCTTGACACCACAACTGGATGAGAATAAACCAAGAAAATTATAGATCAAGATATTTCATGGACAAAGAAGCAATATCCTTTTAAATATTAGCAAAATAATTGAATTTAGCACTGTATTTTCTTTTTTAAAATCACAACCAAGTAGGTTTATCCTAGAAACACAAAGATGGTTCACCATCACAAAATCTATATTCAGGGATGCCTGGGTGGCTCAGTTGATTAAGCATCTGCCTCTGGCTCAGTTCATGATCCCGGAGTTCTGGGATCAAGTCCCACATCGGGCTCCTTGCTCATCGGGGAGCCCGCTTCTTCCTCTGCCTACCTCTCTCTCTCTCTCTCTGACAAATAAAGACAGAAATCTTTAAAAAAAAAATCTATATTCATGAGTAGACTGGTCTGTCTCATAAAGGATAAAAAGTACATTATCATCTCAATAGGTACAGAAAGAGCTTTAAGGGGCACCTGGGTGGCTCAGTGGGTTAAGCCTCTGCCTTCGGCTCAGGTCATGATCTCAGGGTCCTGGGATCGAGCCCCACATCGGCCTTTCTTGTCAGCGGGGAGCCTACTTCCTCCTCTCTCTCTGCCTGCCTCTCTGCCTACTTGTGATCTTTCTGTATCAAATAAATAAATAAAATCTTAAAAAAAAAAAAAGAAAGAAAGAAAGAGCTTTAAATAAAAACAAGCAATCATATTTTGTTTTGCTTTTTTTTAAAAGACCTTACCATAGGAGACAAAAAAAAAAAAAAACTGGGGGAAAATGTTCTCTGAGAAAAGTTTAAAAAAGCAATTACTTTATTTGAAGAAAAGGACTGAGAAAGATTGAGAAGCTAAGGAAGGAAACTAATAATCACCAAACGTCTTTTTTTTTTCCAGGTACTTTCACATACATTATCTCACTCACTTAAGCCTCACAAAAACTATTAGCCCATAAGAAGTCCTTGTAATGAAGTGAGAAAGAGTCTTAGCATACTGGAATGAGCGTAGCATGGGAGTCAGGCCAGAGTTTGAATCCTGCCTCTACCATTGACGTACTGGGAGACTTTGCAACAAGTTCCTGAGTTTCCCTGGGTCTTAGCTTCCTCAACTATAAGATGAGGTGAATTAAGGATACAACTTAAAGTACCCAGTTCATAAAAGGTATTCAGGAAATGGAGCTATTTTTATAAGGCTCTTTTGCTGTACTAAAGAAAGAATAATAAAGATTTTAAACAGATGTGGGGAAAAAATTTTAATCTTGAGGGGCACCTGGGTGGCCCAGTGGGTTAAAGCCTCTGCCTTCGGCTCACATCACGATCACAGGGTCCTGAGATCAAGCCCCGCATGGAACTCTCTGCTCGGCTGGGAGTCTGCTTCCCCCCACCCCCCTGTGCCTGCCTCTCTGCCAACTTGTGATCTATGTCTGTCAAATGAATAAATAAAATCTTTAAAAAAAAAAAATGCCCATTATTTAAAAAAAAATTTTTTTTTTAATCTTGAGAATTTCTTGATTTGGGACTTGACCTAGATAGGAACAGTCAAGGTAATAATTAAGGGAATACTTGTGTCTAATTATTTATAGTGTTTCTGTTTGGTTTGGAGCAGCAAGGCAGACACAGCCAATGACCTCCATTCATCTACAAAATAAAGCGGTTGGAGTAAATAATCTCTAGGATTCCTTTTAACCTTAAAATGTTATGACTTTAACTTCTTTACAGCTTAAGAGTTGCAAGACACTGCAATACTTCACAAACTACATCAGTAATATTCCTTCTGTGGAAATACTTGGGAAAAGTATAAACTGTTATCGTCTATGAGTGGTATAAAATTAGCACTGCCTGAGAGAGAGAGGGATGGACCACATGACTTCGTGGAAGGTCAGATGGTGGAAAGAACATGGAATCAGAAGCCACGAGACCACCAACAGGAAGAGTGTCCTGCCACATAAGAAGCTGAGCTGACCATGGGTGTGTTAAAGTTGGTAAAACCTCAGTGTTTTACTGTAAATCAATTTATCAATACTTGAAGTTGTTGTTCTCAGAAGACAGAAATATGTAAATCCCTGGCTCAATAGTATGTACTTGATAAATGTGAGTTCCCTTGGTCCCTTGAGTTTCTTTCAATCATGTGATTTCAATTACTCTGTAGAAATAGAAACCAAAGGGTTACATGTTTAAAGTTTGATTTATTTCTTAATCAGAAAGTATACAAAGTAAACCAAGGATCAAATCTCTGCCAAAGTGTTTGGAACTCTTCTGCAAATTAATAATCCTGACTCAGAGTTCATTACTGAAAAGACTTAAATCATTTTTGTTTGAGAAACTCTGTGAAAAACAGGAGTACGCAATTATGTTTAATGTAGCAAGTTCAAAGGTGAACTATTTAAAGTTTGAGTGTTTGCTCTAGGTCAAAAATGCAGTAAGTCAGCCAGCAGATGTGAATAACTGTCTCACAGAACCTTGATTATCTATGTTAAGAGACAAAAATCTTCTCTTAAATACCAGTGGAAAGGATCACCAAAAAACTCAACTTAAAAAATAAAACATTAGAATCATACATGAGCCCCAGATAAGCAAAGTGCACTGAGTGGTATGATCAAAGAATTAATTCTAAAAAGAGATATTCTGGGCACTTTCACTGAGAAAAGTGGTTAAAAATATAAATTTCACCACAGATTATTCTGAGTGTTCAAGATCATAAGCAAAGGAAAAGCTAAATGTGAGGGCTGGTGATCTAAAAATATGACACCACTATTTTAGGTCTAAAGAGATCTAAATTAAGTGAAAGCATGTTTCAACCCTTTGCAAATTTCTTCATTGTAGAACACAAATATCAATCAAGGTAAAATTGTACAAATATTACTGTAATTGGGGTTACTAACAAAGTTTAAGAGTTAAAACAGGGCAATTTTCTAGGAAATATGATTAATGATAATCACACAGATTGTTAATAGTACATAAACCCTTTCACTTGGTATTTTAGGAACATTCTTTTATTCAATAGGCCTAGACATTACAGTATGTTTCAAAAATAATCCAAGCTGATGAATCAACTCAAGTTTTGATGATTTCAAGCAGACTGTTCAGAGCAACACTGAACAGAAAGTGGCAACCCTTTGCAGTTCTAAATCAAACTATCATTTGCCTGCCAATAGACAAAGCCACTGATGCCCTTTTCAAGGAGTTCATACAACAAGGACCACCTCACAAGTGACTCATTTTCATATATTCAGATACTGAACATCCTATCCTTGGATAGGATCCAAAAACTGCCTCCACATTCATTTCTGCCCCGCTGCAGAAATAAGAATGCAATTCCATTGTACACTACAACAGCAATTTTTTTAAGGCAAATAAAATAGTTTGCCATAAACATTTTCACCTATAAGGAATCCATCTGGAAGTAAATCCACACTGGCAGAAAATGAATCTGGTAGTTTCAAAGAGCTTACTCTCCTTCGCTAGCCCCTATTATCCATCCAGTATTTGGCTATGAATGGTGAAAAACCACTTTCAGCTTGTCATCTTACTGCTCAAGAACTCTAAAGCTTCTGGGACACCCGGGTGGCTCCGTTGGTTAAGCCAATGCCTTCGGCTCAGGTCGTGATCCCAGGGTCCTGGGATAGAGTCCCACATCGGGCTCCTTGATCAGCAGGGAGCCTGCTTGTCTCTCTGCCTCTGCCTGCAGCTCTGCCTGCTTGTGTGCTCACTCGCTCTCTCTCTCTCTCTCTGACAAATAAATAAATAAATAAGATCTTTATTTAAAAAAAAAAAAAAAAAAAAAAAAAACCTGGAACACTTCTCTGCTACACAATTCCAAATTCCTCTGCCTGGCTTCCAAGTGCCTATATCACCTGGCAGAACTTACCTTGGCTTAGTTTCTACCACTCCCAACGTGACCGTCCCTTTCCTCACAGGCCCTATGACTTGCTTCTGCAGTGCATTCCACCTGGAGTATTTTCCGTCTCCCCACATCTGTCTTTCCCAAATCCCGCTTCCCACATGCAACCTCTTTCTTCTATTCCTGCTTACAGTGATAGCACTTTCTCTACATTGCTATTTTATAGTGTAAGTCGGTCTGCATTACAGCTCTTATTTATTTATTTACTTACTTGAGAGAGAGAGTGTGCAAGTGGTAGGGTAGGGGCAGAGGGAAAGGGAGAGAGAAACCCAAGCAGACCCCACACTAAGCAGGAGCCAGACACCAGGCTCAGGTTCACCACCCGGCTCAGGTTCACCACCCTGAGATCAAACCTGAGCCGAAACCAAGAGTTAGACACTTAATGGGCTGTGCCACCCAGGTGCCCCTCCACATTACAGCTCTTCAATTTGAAACTTCTTTTTTTTAAACTTCTTTTTTTTTAAGATTTTATTTATTCTTTTTAAAGATTTTTTATTTATTTACTTGACAGAGAGAGAGATCACAAGTAGGCAGAGAGACAGGCAGAGAGAGAGAGGAGGAAGCAGGCTTCCCGCTGAGCAGAGAGCCCGATGCGGGGCTCGATCCCAGGACCCTGAGATCATGACCTGAGCCGAAGGCAGAGGCTTAACCCACTGAGCCACCCAGGCGCCCCAAGATTTTATTTTTAAAAAGCAATCTCTATACCCAACATGGGGCTGGAACTCACAACCCTGAGATCATGAGTTGCATGCTCTACCAACTGAGCCAGCCAGGCACCCCCTTCTTAAAGCACCTTAAAAGAATTTCTCTGCAACAGAAATTTGTTCCTCCATGATACACAGAAGAATAAAACCACATGGGAGCACCTGGGTGGTTCAGTTCATTAAGCATCTGCCTTCGGCTCAGGTCATGATCCTAGGGTTCTGGAATCAACCCCAAGTCAGGCTGCCTGCTCAGGGAGAGTCTGCTTCTGCCTCTCCCTCTGCCTGCCAATCTCCTTGCTTGTGCTCTCAATCCTCTCTCTCTCTGTCAAATAAATAAATAAAATCTTAAAAGAAAAAAAAAGAATAAACCCTTATGTATGACATTCCCCCACATGTGTACCTGGAATTACGCACAATTTCCAGCCATAACAGCTATAATTTCACTAATATCTTTCTTATTAAAAAAAAGCATAATATAAAGCAAGTGAATATATTATAGTTCAATAAAAATTAAAAGAAAAAAAACCAATTACCTAGTAAACAGGGATGAGAAGGATGTTTTTATACATGTGACTCTGAATATACTCTATTTATTTAAAAAAAATAAAACATTTGCAAATTTTGACATTTTATTATTGCTAACAAATAACAATACATCTTACAAGTGATCACTCAAAATACACTGGTAAGAACTACCATCTATGTAGCATGTGGTGTGCTAGATATAATAGAAGGTAATCAATAAATACTTAACCAATTAGTACATCTAGCTCATTAATCAATTACACATAAATATTGCTGCTGCCTGATAATGATGATGATTGACAATGATGCAAAATACTCTTCTGCTAACAGTCTCTAAAGGAACAAATGACTTTGTACAGGGAAAATCTAACCAATATTATGCAAATCTAACCAGTATTATAACAGTACAGCATGACTGTTACACTCCTCAAGTTTATGAAGATTGAGACAGTTTCTTTAGCAATCATCACGCAACCCTACACCTCCTGTGCAACAGTGTGGCTATTATTACAATCTTGGGTAAAATTAGTAAATTGTCAATGCTATCTGCTAGGGCAGTTAGAGATCGGATAACTTTTGCTCCACCCAAAAGAAAGCCTTTCTGTAAGAGTGCAAATTTTGCTCTATATTATAATGTTCTCACTTTTACAATAAGCACTAGAAGGCCCTCATTGAAACTTATAACTCAGATGTATAATTTTTAACTGATATTAAACCTATTCTCCAACATATCCACACGACCTTAACTGCCAGTCTCTCAAATAGACCATGATGTGATTTTGACAACCCCCCAATCCTAAAAATGTCAAAAATCCTGAAAAATAGATCTTTCCCTAAAAAACCTCTAAATGTATTATCAGATTGCTTAGGTATAAATCTACCTACAGGCCAGGAGTCTTCTGTTTTCTCTAGTCCTGACATTCTAACATTCTAGGAGCAGAAATTAATCTAAGAATAAATTTTTAAAACATCTTTTAGTCTTTAGCATTGCCTAAGCAGACACTATTTAGAAGTCTTTGTAAAAGTGGATGACAGAGGAAGCTCTGTCATGCCCTGGAAACCTCCAAACATCAACCAAACAGCCCAAAAGAATGTCCTACTCAACAGTTCCAAAGATGTCATTAACTGCTTCCATCTGTTTCCCCTCTATTCCCCTCCCCCTTCAAGCCAAGGCATCTACTAAAGTTATTTTCTGCTACATTTTGCATTCTAAAGAAAAGCAACAAAAGCATGAAGAGCCATAATATTTTAAATTATGGAATATTTGCCCCCCAAATCTGTTTGACAACCATAGCCATTTTATTTATACTCTATCCTATTTCCAAGTAACATATTAAGTTATGTACTTTTTAAACAGTGCTCAGTAAATTTTTCAATTGATCGTAACATAGTGTTTTTCCTTGATTCCCCACAGAGACCAGGATTTTTCCCCCATGGTGGAATAAAGGTTAAAACCTCTGAAGGGTTTCATCTATTGATGATCCCTATCTAAATCAGCTGTTTAAAATTGCATAATTTTATTATGCATAATTAAAACTGCATAATTATGACTTTCTAATTCTGTCATTAATTCCACATTTGTTGGTTAGAATTCCCCTCATCAACTAGGGTTATTAGGCTACTCTGAGATAGTCTGTACAGGGGGCAAGATAGTTACAATATTGGAGGAAGGGAGAGGACAACTTTTGACATCTATTCCCTTAGCAACTTCCAAATATACAGTACAGTACTGTTAACTATAGTTACTATGCTGTACATTATATCCCCAGAACTTATTTATCTTATAACTGAACTCTGTACCTTTCAACCACCTTCTTTCACTTCCCTCCATTACTGTG